TTCCAAATGCTGCTAATTAGGCCCCCCCACCCCCCAATGATCCTTCTAGGTTTGTGAAACAGATCCACTCTTCCCTCTCCTCTGCAAGGGCATCTTAGCTTGAAATCCAGGAAGCGGTGGTGGATGGTGTCCATATCCATGACTTCCTGAAATGGAGCAAAAGTGTGGACGGCATCTGGGGGAAAGGGGCTCTTTACCAGCTTGTTTCCTGTAAGTTCAATTGGAAGACCTTGTCTGTGCAAATAGATTTCAAAATAGAGCCTGCCCTTTGACTGTCTCCATAATTACATGGCTCGCTCTGTATTTTATTTGGCAGCCAGAGCAGTTAACCCCTGAAAGGAAGGGGCTGATGGCATGCCCGGCTTGCCTTCCCAGACATGTCCATGGGAATGAATAAAGCACTGTTTGGCAAGACCCACAGCTAAAAACACAAGCACAGTCTCTAACCGAACTGAAATTCTCTGGGAACAGATTTAATAATGTTTATTATGGCTGATTAAAAAACTTAACTTTGTCCTCAATGTGTGGATTGTAGAAGGGTACTAATTGTTTTTAAAAATTGGGAGTCGGGGGAGTTCGTTATTGCTTTGATGTAAGCAACATCTGTCAACAGGATGAATTTGCTTTTGTTTAGTTTCAAGAGCCCTTGTCCTTCAGCTTTTCTCAATCAGTTTCTGCTTCAGCCTGGGGCAATCCCTCCGTGTATGGATGTGTTTTTCCTTCCACAAATGCACAGGTTATTTCTTGTGAAACGTGAGCTTCTCCTCTGCTTTAGAGTTGCCTTGAAATGGGAAGGAACCCACCATTTCCCTCACTTTTTTCAAACATGTACATCCTAGTCCTAGATTGCAAAAGCATCATAGTGAGTGTCTCAGACTGTTTGATTTTTCTTTTGCAACATTTGTGTGAGTTATGAAACCTTTTAAGCAGCCAGTCAGTGTTTTAGGTCAAGAGATCGGAGACAGATGCATTTGCACTGTTCTCTTGGACTCCATGCACCCGACGCTCTGTGAGAGATGCGGCTTCTGCTCCAAGTAATTGGTTGGAGTTCATGAAAGTGTGATCTCTCTGTGGTTCTAAATCTGCGCTTCAAAACTGTGCTCCTAGGGTATGGTCTTTTTAAGCCTACTGGAGGAAGCAACATTTTTGAATAGTAAAATAAAACCAAACCCTGTCAGATTGCTGACACGAAATAAGTTGCCTTTTTTTTTTAAGTTGAAGTTAATGTATTATTTAAGCAAATCATTTGGTTAAAATTAAAATTATCAATGACTGGAAGAGCCCCAGTTGAAAATGAATTAGTAAAACATTGTTGTTTTCTCTCTTGGTAATCATAAATCATTTAAATCTGGCAGACAGTCCTCCCTTCATCCAAAATAATTGCCTCCATTTGTAAAATCAATTAGATGTTAATATGCTATAAATAATAGTTTTGTTACTAGACTTTGGCATTTGCTGATCATTATGAAGAAATATATTCAGCAAGACATTTTACAGGGTGTCTTTTCAATTCCCTATTATCTCTGGTTGACATTGTTAGCTAATGTAAAGTCATACCAGGCTACTTTATTGTGCTGTTTCTACCCAGATGTTTGGTCCTTCTGAATGTAGTGTAAGTGAGGATTGGTGGCCTGCTGCCGCCGGGTGAAAGTATATAATGAAAGGTAGAGGTGTCGGTAGGCACGCTAGAGCACAGGGGGACTTTGTTCAGTTTTACAACTGTTTCAAATAATCAGCACTTTATAGGTCCCTTTGAAAGTTCATTCAGACCTCACCCTTAAAAATATTTGTTGACCAAAAGAAAACTCACAGTTTCAAGGGTAAAATTGACTTAATAAAGGGTCATTAGTAAAGGTACACATAAAAACCCAGGGCACGGTGGGTGGAATGGAAGCATTTCATTATGCGGTATAGAATGCACGAGCAGATAACAATTAAAATGGACCCGGAGTTAAAAGGCCAATAAATACAGGGCAGGCTGTGTGCAGTGACATTAGTTATGGAAGACACAGCCCTCCCTCCAGCGTGCAGGGTTCTATAGCCCTACCTTTCAGACTTAATTTATGAAGGGAAATAAAAAAGCAGGGTTTAGAAATTGATGTTATTACCAAATATGAAAATATTTAAACCCATACTCTGGACTTATATAGTCCATGCATAAATTTAAAATACGAAGCAAGTGCAACAGGATCCGGAGGACAGGGAACGATTTCAGGAGACACTGAGCCCACACAGTGTGCTACTGACTCCGTGGAGGGAAAGAAGCAGGTGTCTGTAAACTTCAGAGTTCAGCTCTAGACTCTGATAGCAATTTTGTGACGTTGAAAGTAATTTGCATTATTGCCTTTGAGAACAGTAAATATTCTGTTTACAACAACGTGTGGATTTACTGCCTGTGGAAACCCTGTAGCTTTTCTGCTAGGGTGTCAGCAGTAACGATACTCTGATCAAATTAACAACAAGGGACTCCTTGTTGCTCTGGGCTCCCTGGTCTGAGGGTTTTGATAGTTTCTACGGTGCACCCTGAACATCACATAGGTCCACTTGGCCCTGCAGTAATTAGCATACTCCTGCATCTCCTTCCCCAAGCAGTTGCACCAAAAGAGCATGTGCTGTGTGTCGGGTGAAGGGCACTGCAGAGAGGACCAGGCAGTGTTCTTGTCTCTGAGGGTGGTCACTGAGCACCACATTAGTAGAAAATTGGGAGACAGATGTAGTCATAGGTATCATAAGACAGAGAACTACATAGAAAACTCAACAGACTTCTTCTGTATCAGATACTACAGTTGAGTATGTTTCTAGAAGCCTGATTATGTTAAACACTGGGATTTTAATTTTGCCCACTCTGATTCTGGATTTGTTTGTTTGTTTGGTTGGTTGGTGTTTTGGACAGGGTTCCTCTGTGTAGCCCTGGCTGTCCTGGAACTTGCTCTGTAGTCCTGGAACTCAGAGATCCGCCCACCTCTGTCTCCCAGAGAGCTGGGATTTAAGATGTGCACCACCACTGCCTGGCTTTTTGCTTTTGGAATTTTGACTAATACTGATTGATTAAAATATGATGGAGCTGGGGAGGTGGCTCTTTGGGTAAGAATGCTTGCTGGGCAACCATGGGGACCTGGTTTCAAAATCTGAGCACCTGTATTTAAGAGCTGGCCATGGTACTGCTTGGACTTGTAACCCCAGAACTGGAAGAGGGAGACCAGAGGCAGCTGGATTGCTGAGGATTGCCAGTCTAGTCCAGATTTAGTAAGAGATCTTATTTCAAAGGAATAAGGCAGAGATGGGTAGAACAGGACCCCAGAGTCCTCCCCAGACCTCCACACCACACACACACACACACACACACACACACACACAGAGAGAGAGAGAGAGAGAGAGAGAGAGAGAGAGAGAGAGAGAGAGAGAGAGAGAGAGAGAGATGAGCATCTATAACACACACCAAAACAATAAAAATTTTTAAAAATTACGATATGATTAGCATAGCTAATGACCCCCTCCCTGGCTACCATTTACAAGGTGATCGGAAGACCAATACCTTCCAAGGTACCAGGACTTAAACCCATCTGTTCATTTCATCTGTGAAAACACTATTTTTTTTTTTCCTGGTCAATAGTGAATAGTTAGTGGAAAAATAAATAATGGTATGTGACTATCGTGTTACTTTATGATAACATGTATAGGGTACCTTTTATTAAATTGAAAGAAAATACTTGACTTCACATATAAAGGTGAAGTGGATTTGATTAGAGCCATTGTTGTCAATGTTTAGTGTTTTCCTGTAGACGGAGGGAGGGGGGCATGCCTGCATCTTTCTGTCAGCGAGCCTGTCATTTGGCGGGACAGATACATTAGCCACACTGTTCAACCAGAAAGTGACTAACTTACAAGCCTTACCCAGGCATCCCAGTGGAGACCTGATGGTTTCATAATTCAAGTTTAAGTACATAAGAAAGATTCCCCCTGTAATGCCTACGTACTTGAACTTGATAATGCTGATAAAGATGGCCACTCTTTCACGTAATCAGCCACACGGAGAATAATCCTGTGTGATAAAATTGATCTGGCTGTAGTGGGACAGTTAAGTGTTGCTGAATGAAGGCCAATGCTAACCCTCCTGTCTCTGAAACACCTGGGAAGCACTCAACAGGGCCTTGGCACCAGGAAAGTCTGTGGGGCAGAGTTCACTGTGACTGCACTCGCTAGGCAACGGTCATACAACCCCCGGCGGGTACCATCCACCACTGTCTCCCCAGCCGGGTTTCATCCCTCCTTCCTTTTCGTTGATTGGGTTGATGTTTGCCCCCCCCCCCCCCCCCCCGGGAGTATGTTCCTTGGAAGCTGGGACAACTGGATTTCCTGGATCTCAGATGTAGCACATAGGAGTAGAAACAGTAAACACAGTGTTGAGCAGAAGAATAAAGTTGGATGTCCCACAAATAAGCATGTTAAAAGGGTCGGAGGGAAGAGAGATCGTTTATGGAGCAACTGTACTCTGGAGATAGTTTCCACACTGTTGTCTTACCTACCACCTCACCTGATGGGAGCAAGAACACTTACTCCCCTTAATGCTTCGAATGTGGGGCAACTTCAAATGTTTGGGTAACTCAGATCTGGCTTACTTCAAGGTATGCTATTTTCATTACCATATGCCTCCCAATTAGAGGGAAATTTCTCTAAGAATTTCCATGAAAAAAAAAGTCTTCACTCCAAATGTTAACTGAGCACAGGACATGTTTTTCAAGATTAAACAAACAAGCAAACAAACAAACAAAACTTTCTTCAAAGTCCAAACCCTGTGAATGCTGCAGTTTTGGCCAGGCAGGCACGTTTGGACTTACAAAGCTCCTGAATACTGTTAGAGGGCAATGTGTTGGTTGCAGCCCTAGGCTTGGAAATGGAGAGCTGGGGGAGGGAGGCGGATGGATGACTATGAGAGTGTAAGAGTGTGTTTCCCAAAGACACATGCTCAACTGTGTTCATAGCAGCACTATTCGTAACAGCCAGAACCTGGAAACAACCGTCAACTGAAGAATGGATGAAGAAAATGTGGTACATAGACACAATGGAGTACTACTACTCAGCAGAGAAAAACAACGACAGCATGAAATTTGCAGGGAAATGGATGGAACTAGAAAATATCATCCAGAAAGACCAACATGGTATGTACTCACTCATAAATGGATACTAGATATAAAGCAAAGAACAATCAGACTGCAACCCACAGAACCAGGGAGGCTATATAGCAGGGGGGAGCCTAGGATGACTGTGGCTTATAATAAGTTTTGGTTTTACTCAATTACTGGGCAAGCCTCAATGAAACATTTCTCTATTAGGATAAGAATTTATACTGTATCAAGCTGATAACAGAAAAATAAATAAATAAATAAATAAAAATGAAAAAAAAAGAGTGATAATACAATAATGTTTAAAAAAAAAAAGTGTGTGTCACTACCACCTGGCTAGAATAAACTTTTATTTAAAAAAAAAAAAGTAGGGTGGTGCATGCCTTTAATCCCAGCACTCGGGAGGCAGAGGCAGGGAGGTATCTGTGAGTTCAAGGCCAGCCTGGTCTACAGAGCTAGTTCCAGGATAGCCAGGGCTACACAGAGAAATGCTGATTTGCAAAACAAACAAAACAAACAAGTAAAAAATAAACCTTTGTGATAAGGTTCAGTGCATCAGGCCATGCTGGAGAGGGGTGGGGGAGTGGGGGAGAGTGGGGGGGTGGGGGGGATGTGTTTCCTCATCTTTAAACAGTGGCATGACCAGCTGCTGCCTACCTAACAGTTGGTAAGAGGCAATATGTGATAAAATGAACATCTAGCAGTGAGTGTTATCAAAAAGTGAGTCACTACACTATTTATTTATTTGTTTGTGTTTGAGACGGGGTCTCTCTATGTAGTTCTAAAGCTTGATATATAGACCCGACAGACCTCGAACTCACAGGGATCCACCTGCCTCTGCCTCCCCAGTGCTGGGATCAAAGGCGTGCGCCACCACACCTGGCGGAACCACTACAGTCTTGTCGGTATTGATGTTATTAGTTGTAATCCTAGTGTACACTTTCCTTAGGATGGAACACTGCCCCTTACGTGTGAGCCTGCCTAAGGATGTGACTAGGGCTAGAGTGAAAGCCTGGTTCCACCTGAGGCTCCAAAATTTCTATCCCATATGACAGACTGCCCAACTGCCTCACTGAAGCATGTGTGGTCAGCCCATTGACACATTCTGGGAAAAATAATAGTAGTGAACAGCAGTTCTCTGATATCTATTTTCTGGATGTTTCCATGTATTAGCTAATTTTACTGAAATGCTTCAGAGAGAGGTAATGCACTTTGGGGAGCTTTGGTTCTTACTGCATATCCCATATAGTAACAGGGAGCTGGAGAGATGGCTCAGCAGTTAAGAGCACTAGCTGCTCTTCCAGAGGACCTGGGTTTAATTCCCAGCACCCACATGGCAGCTCACAACTGTCCGTAACTCCAATTTCTATGGATCCAAAATCGTCTTCTGACATCAGCAGGTACTGCACCATGTGATTCAAGCAAACCATCCATATACATAAAGGTTGTAGAGAAAAATTTTAAAAAATATTAAAAATGAATATGGTATAGTTCTGAACTTGCAGGGCTCTTGTGAGGATTAACGAGCTAGCATATGTAAAGTACCTTGTTCAGTAACTGACACAAAAAGTGTTCAGTATTAAAAGTTGTTTAGTGGAGCTTAAATTTCATTTCACATTTTAATTTTCAAATGCCCTTGAAGAAGCTGTTGTTTACTGGGCATCTGCTAAACACAACATACTTTCACATTCCTTATTCCGGTTAATTCTCACCTGAGACTCTAAAGGAGAAACATGTTCAGGTACATAGAGCCAGCAAGTGGTAGAGTTGAATAGATTTCCAGGCGTCTGGGTTCTAAACCTCTACTTTCCCTAGGACACTCTACCCCCCAGATGTCACTTGACAATCTTTTTTGTTGTTGTTTTGTTTTGTTTTTTTTGAGATAGTGTGGTGGTTTGAAAGAAAATGGCGCCCAAAGGGCATGGCACTATTAGGAGATGTGCCTTGTTGAAGTAGATGTGGCTTTGTTGGAGGAAGTGTGTCCCTGTGGGGGCGGGCTTTGAGGTCTCCTTTGTTCAAACTTCCCTCAGTGTGACACTCAGTCCACTTCCTGTTGCCCACCAGATGTAGGACTCTCAGCTCCAGCACCATGTCTGCCTGCACGCCACCATGTCCCACCGTGATGATAATGGACTGAACCCCTCTGAACTGTAAGCGAGCCATCCCAATTGAATGTTTTCCTTTATAAGGGTTGCCATGGTCCCTTCGCAGGCCCTGGGAATGCTGGCCTTGCCTCTCACTGACACTGTAACAGGAGAGCTGGCCTCTGCACTCCGAAGAAACCGTCCCACCCCTCACCACAGGTGAGGGTGAACCTACCCAGAGGTCATGGACATAGGTGAGCTGACTCTGCCCCCTCACCCAAGGTGGGTGGCCCCAGTGGCCTGGACTGGCCAGCTCAGCTACCGCCCAGGCCCACAACCGGGCCTTGGGTTGGCCCACCCTAACATCTACCCATCTAGGACCCGCTGGAGCTCATGAAGGGACTGGTCCTGTGGAATAATACCCTCAGGATCTCCATGACTGGGGTGGCCACAGGATATCCCAGAGGACTTCCGGTGAGGATCCAGCCGTGATGCTGTACCGGAAACCAGAGGCCTTGAGCCAGCCAGACAGTGACTCACTGCAATGAACATTTGCTAGAAAAGCTGGGAAGGGGGCACTGTGTGACACACCACGGCTCCCAGCGCCACCAGGACAGAGGCAGAGGTGTTGGAGAGGCGGGAAAGAAGTTTGTTGTTGTTGTTTTGGGTTTTTGTTTGTTTGTTTGTTTTGTTCTTGTTTTTGTTTGCTTACTGGCATACTGTATTTTGTTTCCTTTGGTGAGGGGGGCGCTGCAGGAGTGAGGAGGATATGGGGGGCTGGGAGGTGAGTGGAATTGGGGTGCATGGTGTGAAACTCCCAAAGAATCAATAAAAAAGTGAAATTTAAAAAAAAAAGTTGCTGTGGTCATGTGTCTCTTCACATAGAAACCCTAACTAAGACAGACAGGGTTTCTCTGTGTAGCCCTGGCTGTCCTGGAACTCCCTTCATAGACCAGGCTGGCCTCTAACTTAGGGTTCTGCCTGCCTCTGCCTCCAGAGTGCTGGGATAAAAGGTGTGCACCACCATGCCCGGCTTCAATTGACAATCTTAAGGCTGAACCTGGGCACTTAGCTCAGTGGTAGGACACTGGCAGGTGCAAGGCCCTGGGTTCAAACCCACAGGACTGTAAAACCAAAAATCCCACAACTCTCACCTAACAACCCCAGGGCTGGAGGTATTGTCATTAGGGAAATACCTGGGTGTGCTTATGTGTGGAGGCTGGAGGACAACTTGTTATTGTTCCTCATTTACTGCGTCCCTCACCCCTTGGTGAGACAAGGTCTCCTACTGGCCTAAAGCTTACCGAGTTGGCCAGGCTAGCTGACCAGAGAGCCCGAGGAGTCCGCTTGTCTCCTCAGTGATGGGATAGCGTGTTCAATTCTATACATGACTTTTTTGCCCCCCCCCCCCTGGGGGGGGAGAGGGGGATCCGAAACAGGATTTCTCCATGTATCCCTGACTATCCTGGCTCTCACTTTGTAGACCAGGCTGGCCTCGAACTCACAGAGATTTGCCTGCGTCTGCCTCCCAAGTGCTGGAATTAAAGGCGTGCGCCACCACCACCTGGCCTACACATGACTTTTTATGTTGGTTTTGGGGGTCAAACTCAGGTTTTCATGTTTGCCTACCCCATCTACTCATTAGAAAAATATTATACTTTAAAAACTAGGAAAAATATACCTGTCTGTGTCAAGCCCTTTTAGAGCTGAATGGAGTGGCTTGTGAATATACTCTCAACTTCTCAGAAGGCTGAGACGGAAAAATACATTGAGTTCAGGACCATCCTGCTCAACAGACAAAGGTCCTATTTCAAAAATAAAAACAACAAACCGTTAAAGAAAGAAAGGGAAAGGTTTTCTGCCTTTCGTCCAGTGTTTGGAATTGTCTACAATAATACTAGGGCCCAGTGGGACTGGGATGTAGCTCTGTGAGGGTGTAACCTGCCATGTACAAGGCCCTGGGTTAGGTCCCCAACAGTGCAGAAAAGTATAAACATAAATAACATGTATAATATGTTCTATTCAACATTATATATGTCATACAGTAGTAAACATATTACCCAAAATGCCTGTGTGTCTGATTTAACAGTTCTAGCTGATAGAAAACCATAACTGAATGAAACTTTGGATGTTGAATCTCATGCCTTTTCCCAATTCATGAGCAATGCTGACCTTGGGGATCAATCCTCATCAGTTTCCGAGGCTGAGATGTGACTCTGGGGCCAGGAGTTCTCCAGCACAGAGTGCTTGGGGGTGACTGAGCTCCTGTAATCCCAGCTCCTCTCATTCCCTGGAGGAGGGGTCACCGAGAATCTCTTTTCCTGTGTGGCCGATTCTCCTGGCCTGGGAGCCTCACAGCGTGAATAGCATGTGAAGTCAGCAGCAGCTGTGGAGGGCTGAGAGGTAAATATGCCTTTGTCACAGCTCGTCAACTCTGCCTTAAGCTTAGGAACAGTCATGACTGGTTGTAAATAACTCAGGGTAGGTACGGACGCCGAAGTCTGAATTCCACCCTACAAGATACTATTTCTTCTGATTTTTTCCCCAACCACTTATAAATATAAAAACCCATCTTTTTGATGTTAAGCTGTATAGAGACTGGCAGCAGGTCAGATTTGGCCCTTAGCTGGAGTTTGCCAGCTCGTCATATAGTTGTGACCTATGGGGGATTTTTCTAAACGATTACTTTTATTGTAATAGTGATGGAAGTGGATTTTTTTTTTTTGAGAAGTAGATGGTTTTTAAAAGCTAACAGTATAGAAGAAAATAAAATGAATCAAAGTCTTCCCACTTCCTGCCCTAATCACATACTCTAGAAATTCCCACTATTGATGAATATTAATTCTGGCAATGTATAGGCATATACAAGCTTATATAAATAAACATGTAAGCTTCTTTTATATTAATGGGTTTCTTTTTTGCACATGCTTTTTAATTTATTCTTTATGAATTTCTTACATGTACACAATGTGCTTTGACCATGTCTGCTCCCACCTAACGGGCTCCTTATGTATGGTGCTCAGTGTGTGCTTTTCCATAACAGTGCCTTATGGTCTCTGCTTATCAATGCACAGAGACCACTCAGCTCCTCTCCTCCTTTTCCTCTTCTGAGAAAGAGTCCTGTGTAGCCCAGGATGACCTCAAACTCACTGAGCATCTGAGGACAAGCCTGAACTGGTCCTCCTGCCTGTCCCTGTTTCCCGAGTGCTAGGATTATGGTTGTATACTGCCATAGTTAGCTCTATTCTTCTTAATGGCTTCAGAATTTCCTTTTGTATAGCTAGACTGTATTATATGTTTAGCCCATCCTCTGTTGATAATTCCCATTTGAAATCAGGCTGTTTTGCAGTTTTCTACCCAAACAATACCTAAGTAAGGGTGTGGCTCCATACATCCATCATTGCATATTATCCATGGGATAAAGTCTGAAGAGATAAATTGCTGAGTCAAAAGATGTGCTTTTAATATTTTAATGAATATCTCTAAATTCCTATGTTTGTTTTATGCCTACACTTTTGCTATTTGGTCCAACACGAGCATTCATCACAATGAATTTTGGTATAATGCCTTCATGCACAAGGACTTAACACCCAGTTGTAATCCTATGGAGGCCAGAAGTGCAGCTGGCAATTTGTCTGTGGCTTTTGAAGGGAAAATGGTTTTAAAGAGTATAGAGCCACCAAAGTGGTGCCCTGAATTCTAGGGTTATCTGGACATCGTCACACAAGGTACCGAAGCAGAAATTCTTTTCCACACCTGCTGCGGGGCAGATCTTTCCGTATGTTTATTTCCTATTAGAGTAAAGCTTTCCACTGTCAGAAATTTATGTACACAGTGCTAGTCAGTCAATATGGTGTGCTACTGTTGTCCAGAATACGACTGCCCCCTTTCTGGGGCTTTCTTTTTTGAGTCAATAAAGAAAGAGACTAATGGTTTAATAGGTATGACGCCTCCTAGGGCAACACTGTTAATGTCTTTTCTTTCTTTCTTTTTAACCTGAAATACATCTATTTCTGCTCACAGGTTGTCAGAGAATTTTCTCTTCTCCACTCAGTCCTCTCTACTTACACAAGCGGTCAGGCAGTCAACAAAGAAGAAATTTCTTTTTCTGGAGACAAAGGGATATCTCCCACAGTATAGTTTCGCCGGCCGCAGTTTCTCCTGCACATCCTGTCCCCAAGGTACTGTACCGCTCCAGGCTGACACTCTCTCTGGCAGGCAAAGGTGGCCTTCACGAGCACAATCGAATCGTGAATTTAAAACTTAGTTTGTGATTTCAGATTGTGATAGGAGAACATTTTATTTTAACATCCTGCAGTTTGAGAATATATATTCAAACAAAAAGAAGGGTCTGGACAAACACTGCTTAGCTTATTTGGAATTTTAACTTTTAATCATGAAAATTTTTTATGTTATAAAAACTGGAACTAAAACTGTGTGTATATAGTTCATGACTTCCTTTATTTTTTTTTTAAGAGAAAATGACTGTAAAATTGGATTGATTCAAGAGAGATTCATGGAAATTAACATACTGGATGTTTTTAAGCCTTTAAACTTTCTATGTTACTAATACTACTATCTTTTGAATAATTTTTTTAGAGTAAATTAATAAAAGCCAGAGCATTCTTGATTCCCCCCCACCAAAGGTTTCAGTATTGTGGAAAGACAATCTCTCTGCCTTTAAAAATGCAAAGGAGGTGTAAGGGGTCATTTAGAAAGAAGAAAAATAGCTAAGAGAAGTATAGACTTGTCACAAAAATCACCTGCTTTCTTCCTTTTACACTCCTTTTCTTTACTGTGAATCACCTTGAGCATACCCCCAAAGGTGGGTAGTCCATTTTTATAACAAGGCTTGAGAGACAAAAGAGCCCGAAGCCCTATCTTGGCTTAGGTCTGGCCATCATAGAGAGAGCTAGCATTTGGTATTAGTCATTAAACTGACATTCTTTTTCTTCAGTAAAAACAAAAAGAAATCTCTAGGTGCCGGGGAGACGGGGCAGTCAGTAAAGCGCGTGTGCTCTGTAAACACGGGGCCTATCACACACACAAAACAAACCGGGACTGCAGCAGTGCCTCTAATCCCAGAGCTGGGGAGGCGAGGCAGAGACAGGGAGATCCCTGGGGTTCACTGGCCAGCCAGTATAGTCAAGTCAGTAAGCTCCAGATTCAGTGAGAGACCCTATCTCAAAAAAATAAGGTGGAGAACAATTAAGGAAGACATAGGTATCATCCTGTGGTCTCCATGCCTCTGCACACATGTGTATTTGTATCCATATGAATGCACATTTGTATCCATACATGCACAGACACAGACATACAGACACACCACACACACACACACACACACACACACACACACACACACACACACACCCCTAGATATAAAAAATGTGTTGTATTATGCATTTTAGTCAGTTTCAGAGACAACCCAGCAGTCCTCAGCTATAGTTATAACCAAGACAGATCACAGAGCAGAAATAAGAACATAGGCTTGTTGAGGGGAGACCTGGTTAGCTGTGGGAGTTGAAGGGGTGACTATAGGAGAAGAGATGTTTCTTCAGGGCTCAGCTGTGACAAGCCAGGCCATTCTATTACCCGAATAACAAAAGCCCCTCGGGCTGGAGAGATGGTTTAGTGTTTGCCACATAAGTGTAAGAACGTGAGCTCAGAGCCCAGCAACCACATAAAGCCCCTGGTACGGTGGTGTATGCTTGTAATTCTAGTGCTGAGGCGTGGGGATGTGGACCAGGTAGATCCCTGGAGCTGTTGGCTAGCTATGAGCTCCAGATTCCATGAGAGACCCTGTCTCAAAAGCAAGTGCGGAAGAGAGAAAAGCACTTCTGAACAGTGGAGTAAGAGAAGATCCTAAGGTCTGGCCTGGCACTTTTCACAAACACAAGAGCCCCAACCTCTCAGCCCTCAGAGCTTCGAGTGTGATTCCTGGCCCAAACTTCTGTGTAGGCTCACTGTGTTATGGTTGGCAGTCCATTGCTATAAATGCTCAGGAAGGGCCCTGCAGACCTCAGGGTGGACAGAAGCTGTGTGTAAGATAGTGTTACTTCCTGAAAACCGCCAGTGGGTTTCGCTGCTGGAGAACCAGACACGGGGCATCAGGGTTGGATGTCTTGACTTTGGGTTAGGAGCGGGCTCTTTGTTTCTTCTTGATGAACGATGGAAGCATTCTGGGTAATTTTATTGTCCTTGGAGAAGACATCAAGGAAATAAGCCGTTTTGTTTTGTCTAGTGCTCAGTTATAGGGTCACCTACTGTAAGCATGTGTGTGTGGCAGGGCCCCATGAACTTGACGCCCTTTTACATGGACTCACTGGGAGAGGGTGTTGAGAACTGTCCTTTGCATACATTTTATCCTTGCTTGAAGAAGATGAGGGTATTTCTTAATCAAGCATTGTGCGGATTGGAAACATGGTGCTTTTTCATCCATGGGCTGTGCTGCTGACGGGCTCGGGTGGAGTGAAGAACAGAACCCCGCCGTTTGTTTTGACCAGAAGTCTCCTTCAGCAGAACCCGAGTCAAAGCCTGGTGAGGTTAACAGCGCGTCCAGAGCAGCGTTACCAGGCGATGTTAAGTTCAAAAGGGCAGGGGAAGGAGCTGGGGGTAGCCTGGAGGTCTGTTGTGCTGGCTTTGGAGGTCGGTGCTTCAGCAGGAAGGGCAGATCTCCATGAAGCAGGAGGCTGTGTCCGAAAAAAAAGGACGCCATTGTCGCGTGCTGGGTTCTGATCTCCGTTTTCAATCCTTTTTCCTGAAGCACATAAAGAAGCCAGACTATGTGACGACAGGCATTGTGCCGGACTGGGGAGACAGCATAGAAGTTAAGAATGAAGATCAGATCCAAGGGCTTCGTGAGGCCTGTCAGCTGGCCCGGCACGTCCTCCTCCTGGCTGGGAAGAGCTTAAAGGTGGTGTCTTACCAAGCCTCAGTGTGACCTGCAGACGGGCTTCCTCTCCCTTTCTGCTTACCTCTCCTTTTACACTCATCTATTAATAATTTGATTTTTTTTTAAAGTAAAGCCTTCAGATGGGAAAAGGGGATTATTCTATTTTATGTGTTCCTTCAAGGAATAATGCAAACTTCTTTGATTGTAACTGGCAGAATTCTAGAGATACTCAGCTGACTCGGCCTATCCAAGGCGCTCTGTGTCAGAGGACTTTAGCTTTGCCACCTTCCCTCTGCCTGTACCCTGCTTCTATTTCCCACATCCCCTCCCTGTGTTGAAAGTGTTGGTCCTGCCCTCAAGTCTGCCCCTTCTTTTCTTGAATGTGCCCTACAAAGAGAGGATAGGCCCAACACACAGAAACCACAGTAACTGCTATGAGAGTCGGTTCTTTCAGAATCGGTCAAAACGCCCTGCTCTCTATAGTTCATAAAGAAATATAAGTACAGTTTCCAAGTGGGACTCAGTGGCGAATTTGGTTACTATGTCGCCTGTGTGGCCCACCTGTCACAGCAGCATAACCAAGCACAAGGGGAATATAAATTAACACAGGAAATTGTTGAGGGAGTAGTTAGCATCTCCTGAATAATTTTGCTTTGTTATAGAATTTTATCTGTGGTATGATTTCATGGAGATAGTCTTCATGTGCTTAGGAAACTCAGTTTCTGGGGTTGAGGTGCAGCTAAACAGCAGACCACTTGCCTAGCCTAGGTGAGAGCCCAGGTTCAGTCCCCAGCAGGGCAAAACAGAAACCAAACAAGACCCCTCCATTTCAGTCATCTTTGTTGGAAAATAATTGGGTATTTTCTGGTATGGGAAACATTAAAATGTATTTATCTGGGCATGAAAGAAATCAAGCTTATTGAAAATAAAGCCTCTATGAAAGGTGTCAAAGATTGAGTTTTAAAATGACGGTCCATCACCTCCCTGCCGTCGCTCCAAAGCTCGCCCATGCAGTTTCCAACAAGATAAAAAGGTGTGGGGCCAGGCTCTTTGAGCCAGCATTCCGTTTGTACACTCATTTGTATGCTTCCTTTAGCCAGAGCTCTGACCCTCGAGGAGAAGGAAGGAATTGATGAAAGACGTATTGCTGAAATCATCAGGCTACCAGGAATTATCATTTAATGACTCACTCTATTTCCTAATGGTATATAACACCATCATATACCATCATTTGGTCAAAATGGTATATAGCTTCATCATATGCCCAAATGATGACGAGAGCAGGGCTGAGGGTGATGATGAGAGTTGTGAATAATTCGTGTTACCCCACGAATTCATCGTGAGTGTACAGTCTCACCTGGGAGTGTTGCTGTTGTGGACGGTCCATAAATGCAGGAAGTATCTCAACTGTCGCTGCACACTTTGTTTAATATTGCAGGTTGACATGACAACAGAACAGATAGATGCGCTAGTTCATCAGGAAATCATCTGTCATGATGCCTATCCCTCACCTCTGGGCTATGGACGCTTTCCAAAATCTGTCTGTACCTCTGTAAACAACGTGCTCTGTCATGGCATTCCTGACAGGTATTCATTTTTCAATAATGTATTGTTCCTTTGGAAACTAAGATCCATAGCACATATTGAAAAATACTGTAGTTCAATTGAAACCTACCTGCGTGCACGCTTCCGAAATGGATTATGATAAAATAAAAATTTTGAGGTATTTTACTTCTACATGGGATATGACACCACCATTTAATGTTTCTTAAAGTGGTGTGTGAGCCACAAAAATATTTGTACATTACCTATTTCCTTTAACTTATTCCATTTTTACCATATGGTGATGGAGGCAAATTGTATTGACAGCTCTTGTTTTGACTGTTTACAAACTTCAGGTAATTAGGAAGTGTATCTCTTTAAAGAATCATGAATTCTTAAGGCAGCGGTATTTGTTTCCTGTACTTCTTATAAAATGTGGTGTGATTAACGTAAGACAAGGTCAGATCTGACTGCTCCATCCATTCCTGCTTCACGACCAACTATCGCCGCAGCTCACTGAATCCGCAATAGTATTCTTTAGGCACTTATTTTCACATTTCTTTTTATTGAGATCTGTCTATCACCATTTCTTCTGTTTATGTTTCAGCCGACCTCTTCAGGATGGAGATATTATCAACATTGATGTCACGGTGAGTAAATCATATAAAAAAAAAATCATCCCTGATCAACTTCAGAATTGCTAGTAGCAACAGGAAGGAGGGTGGCTTGTAAATGTGAGCTGCGCTCGGGGAGTGCTGTTTACTTCCAGCCCCGGACACAAGCAGCTGGTTTCCTTTTTTTTTTTTGTCTTTAACTCTGTGTTTATTCCAAGTAAACCCAGGCCTGACTTGAATTTCGGGCTGGAATCAGATGCACTGAGATCAATGTTGGCCTAAGTGAAATGTCAGCCCAATCCTGCTATGTGTCATGTTTTTGAGAAGGTGTAATTGTTATTGATCCACTGGGTAGTTAATGCAGAGCACCACGGCACTAGGCAGCTGCTGAAGCTAGATATGTATGAGATGAGCTAACACGAGGAAAGCCAGCATTTTTCCTTCACTCTGCCAAGATTGATCTTCCTCTTCCTGCTGATTTTGAGTGGGGTCTGTCATTATCTTACTCTGTCATTAGGGGCTACATTGGCCTGCGTGTCAGTCTATTTGGACAGCGACTCTTGCTAGCAGTGTTCCCTAGATTTATTAAAATCCCTGAAGGTAACGCCGTGTTCCATCCCTGGTGGAGAGAGGCCTGAGCTCACAGCACACAGGCAGAATGGTTTTTCTGTCTGAATTTAAGTTTTCACCGAATGGTTGATGGCCTTTCTTTTTAAATAACAAGCCTAAGTGATTGAACTTGGGGACTGCAAATTGTCCAAGCTGTAACCTTTTCTCATCTCCCAGGCCCTTCGCCATCCTCAGACTTGGATTATTTGTACTCATTTCATTTCAGGCTGTCTGTAGGAGGGCCTTTTGAATTATACAAAGGACAAATAAAATCTGTGCGTCTATGACTAATTAATAACTTTTAGATAAATAAAATGTGCAATCTGTCAGGGACTCTTGGAGATGAGTGCCATTCAAAAAACACATTCTCTATTAGAGAGTAAATGTTTTTAATAATAGTTATTTTATATTCAGGCTGAAAGTCAGGTAGCAGTGGGACTATAATGGAAATAGGCATCGATAGATGGTTAAATTTTTAGTTGTTTAAGTTAATTCAGCCTTGTTTCTTCAGATCAGTGTGTGCCCAGATACAACCAAACAACTCTTGCCCATATCACTTCCCATGTCATTGTGTCTTAGAATGCCTGAGTGTCAATCCACACATCCTGTTCGGGTCTTTCCGACTCAGAAGTGTATGGGAGGTGCTTTATGAAGTGCACCTGAAATAAAATCTCTCCTGTGATACATTTTTATTTCGGATTGAACCTGATTTTAGGGTTTCACATTGATTACCTCACCTTATCACCCACTAATAAAATATTGCTGCTTGTATGAAATGAGAAGTCTCCCATGCTGTTCCCAACGTGCCCGGGGAGAACACATTATTCCTTTCTAGGTTTCCTGAAGGCTTTTAATAGAGAATTTCATTTCTGAAGCTTAAATTATTCCAACAATTCTTAAACTCACTTGAAATACTTTCTAGTGTCTAGAAGTGTAAAGGAGTCTAAGAGACATATTGGTCAGTATCAAAAAATTATATTTCTTATGAAATATTTTATTAACTGAAAAACTGCATTTCTAACACCTACACTTTTGTCTGGACATACCCATTGCATTTTATGTCTATTATGAGTTGTTTTTTTCTCTGGAAAGTTAATTTTTTTTTTAATGAAAAGGTGGTGTTTATAGTAGTTGATCAGTTAATACTTGTTAAATGAAGCATGAGAATGGCTTATGGGGAAAATTGTAGTTATAGTTGACTGCCCCCAATCCTTCAAAAGTATGTTCTTCCTGCTAAACATGTGCAAAGCCCTGGGTTCAATCCCCAATAACACACACACACACACACACACACACACACACACACACACACACACTCAGACACACACACATACACACACATTGTATTCCATATGTATTGGATCCTTTAAATAGTTATCTTAAGAGTTATTGAAAAATTAATAGTTTAGAACAGGCTGATGAAATGGATCAGCAAGGAAAGGCACTTGCTGCCAAAATTCGACAACCTGAGTTCAATCCCTGGGATCCACATGGTGCAAGGAGAGAACTGACTCCTGCAAGTTATCCTCTGACCTCCACACACATGCCATGGCATGTGCATACACACACACACACACACACACACACACACACACATATGTACACATAAAATAAATAATGTTAATATATTTTAATTTTTAAGTATTATGAAACAGCAAGTTAAACGAATTTAAACAATACATTTTACTTAAAAAACACAGTTACAAATTTTCTTGAATAATTACACTTATAGTAACAAATTTTGTATTCTTGTATATGACAAATGCTCACATTTTTCTGTAAGGGACTATAAGTGGGAATAAATTAGAAAACACTACTGTGAGGGGATTAGGAGGATATTAGTAGCCATCAGTCTATCCGATTGATTGGGCTGTACTCTGCCAGTAGCCCAAACAAGCTGTTTGTCCGTGCCTCGGTTTCCTGACTTGAGAGCCAGAGATCTCTATGATGACTTTTTGCCCCCTTCTCATTGTCTTAAGAGTTTCTTCAGTGCGTGCCAGGAGATGGGCATGACATTAATTCAGACAAAAAGCTTCAGTAAGTAGCCTTTCTCATAAGAGTCTCTGCCCTCTGCCTTAGGAAAAGGAGAACTATGAAGATGATTAGGATACGTTCATGTAAAACAGTAAATACCATGTTACGTCCAGGGATCAATAGTCGCCAGGTCTCCTCTGCCTTCTACCTATGTTCCAGTGGTTGCTAACCATTGATTTTTCATGATGAACCTGATGTTGTTCGAGACCACGTGGAGCTCCTGAGTCGTTGAAGACTGATAAAATTATCTTTGTGATTTTACTCCTAAGCTTGCTTTGGTATGTTCCAGTTCTTTAAAAATCCACACCACGGAGTGGTTCCTGTCACCATCGTACTTTCTGGAACATTTGATTCAAATTTCATTTCTAGATGTAGAATTTTTCCACCATACTTCATTATTGTATCGAGCCCCATCGATTCTTAGCATGAAATTCTCCTGCCCACCATTATAGTGCTGACGTGTATCTTATTTCTTCTTGTCATTATGTATCATTTCTAAGTCTAGAGCTGGTAAATAAAAGAGCGTGTAAATCCTCATGACACTGAGGACATGTTTTACTATGCTAAGTACTTAATTTTCTAAACCTACTGTGGTAATTGCAGGTCAATGTATTTGATAACTAATTTTTCCAAGCATAGTTTTGCCTTCTCAGAAGTAAAATGGGGGCTCAAAATGCCACAATAGTGTTATTAATCTCAGAGCTGAAGTAACCGAGCTGGTCATTTTGTTCGTTTTTAAGATTTTGCAGGATCATTGCATGGTTTTACTTTTTAAATTTCAGAATGGTTTGAGTATATGTTTTTTTTTTCTTTCTATGTGAACTTGAGACTAACTCTGAGAAGGTAATAAATTTACTAACTGCATAAACAAGCAGTATATATACTTTAGGAGAAAAGGATTCCTGACGAGGACCTACCTTAAAATCTGTGCCTGTGTTTAGGTCTATTACAATGGCTACCATGGAGACACCTCTGAAACCTTTTTGGTGGGCACTGTGGATGAATGTGGTAAGAAGTTAGTAGAGGTTGCCAGGAGGTGCAGAGATGAAGCAATCATGGCTTGCAGACCCGGGGCCCCCTTCTCTGTAATTGGAAACACCATCAGGTAAGCCTTGTCCTGACAAGTAAAAGGGGACTTGGCGAGTGGTACAAAGGTTATTGTGGCTTGGTGTAAAGTTGATGACATGTTTTATGATTCACAGCCATCATTTCAGTCTGATATCAGTTTGTGAACTGCCAAGCTGCAATATTGTTCCCTGGGTTGAAAAAAAAAAATGGTTTAAAAAAAGTGAGTTTGAACAGGATCAGCAAAGAAACTTATTGGAGCAGTGAGCAATATTTATATGGCTGCTTTTGTTTTAGCTTGACATACTGGTCTGTGATGTTCCCTTATTCAAATGTAGAAGAAGGTACCTAAGAAAGGCACTGATCACCCCAGCCCTTGGATGGTCAGAAAGGAAAAAAACTTCTGTTTTATAGAGAGGCATTCCTGTGATGCCAAGATCAGAAGTGTGAGCTCAATGCACCCTGACTTTTTATGTTAGCAGATTAAGAAATATCCTGAAAGGCTGCTCTGCATCACTTTTTTTGTCTGGGTCATTTTTCCTATAAAACATTGTTTACTTTCCCCAGAATTTTTCCTGTGCTTGCTTTTTGAGTATAAGTGTATTTCCTGAACTCAAGACTTTTCTTTGTAATCTGTTTCCCACTTTCAGATCCTTTTTTTTCTTCCCCTAAATGTTTTGGAGTAGCCATGCAGAATATGTGTTTTCATTTAAAAGTAACACATTTTGTTAAAGATGATCGGCCAGTCCCTTTAAAGTGCTGTTCTCATTAATATGAGCCTGGGCCTCTGAGTACTCCTGTTTGCCCAAAGGATAGAAAGCTCAGTCACCTTGAAAAGATGCTGCCTTTTTCTCTGAGTCCGCCTTCAAATACTTTAAGAAAAAAGGCAGTAAAATATCAGTTAAATGTATTTATGGCTTTAAAAATATTGTAACAGTGTCTGAATCAAACTTTAGTAAAATCTCTTTGGGTTATATCTGAGAAGCTTTTATTGAAGACTTTGAACAAAATTGTGTTTTTGACAGTTTTAAATTATAGGCTAACTAGCCTGGGAAAAAAGGATAGTGTCTCTCTGTTCTTTCATAGGAAATGTTGAATCAGACCCCTACTGGGAAAAGAAATTTAATGCATATCTCACTATCTTACTGTCCATGAATATAATAGAAATGAATTCAAAATGCAGTTTTATTTTTGCAAATGGGATGAGTCGATGGATGCACCTCATATTTTTGAACACCTAGGGTTCAACAAATTTACTGGTGGCGCTCTTGCATTTTAACAAAATTTATTCTTCAGTAGAAGGGGGCAGAGAACACTGGATTCTTATTCAGGCATTCTGTGGAGCTCTGCATTCATGGCTGTGTCTAAAGGGCATGTCAGCCTTTGATTCTCTCTGAGAGGTAATTATCCTTTTCCTGTCACGGAACAACAAATGATAGCTAACTACAGAAGCACATTTGCAGTAGTCACATTCATCAACTGCAGAAAAAAAATTCAATTTAATTGTGCAACACAGCTGCACATGGGCTTTTGAGCTTTTCTGTTGTTTCCTTGTCTTGCTATTCCTCCCTCCAGATCTATTTTTTAAACTTTTTTTCTGGTTATTTTTCCCCCTTTTTGTCTCTTCTTCCATTTTTACTCTCTGTACTTTCTTGTTAAAGTAATTTTCCTTTGTGGCTCCCATTCTTTTTTCCCCATTGAAGGCTATGAATGTAGAAAATTATCACAATTACTCATATAATTGAGCCTCTTTGTAGCAAGTGCAACTCCAGTAGCCTTTCTCCATCATGAAAATGGTTTCATTATAGGGTTTTTCATATTCTCTGACACCATCTACACAGAGGAACAGGCGTGCAGATGAGATGTACTAGGAACAGGCTAGATCAGTAAGGTCACAGTAGGAATAATTAGCTCTGCTATGGAAAGAGCATCCAGGCCTTTTACTGCTACATAAATGTACTGTCCGTGGCTTTTAGTCACAAAAAAAACTTACTAACAAATGGAGCTCCCGCCTACTACTTTGAAAAAAAGATTTGTATCAACACTACAATTTTCCATCATTAAGACTAATAACACAGAGCCTAGTATACATCAAGGGGAATAAAAAGAAAAATCTCACATTCAAGTGGTGGCTGGGCGCTGACCTTTGTTCCCTCTTTTTGTATACGACTTAACTCTTTACAAAAAAGAGCCACACGCCACACCAACATGCAGGTGAACTCCAGCCAGTACTTGCAAAGCCCAGCATTCAGTCGGAAAATCTGATAAATCTCCATGCAGGATAATGCATTTCATTACATATTCACTACATTAATTCCAGCTACATAAAAAAAAAAAAAAAAGCAACAGCAGCAGAAGAGTGGAATTCAAAGTGACATTGGATTTTAGCTATCTGGATGCGAAGGTCAGTTTGGGCAGAGTATGAATTTGCATGAACAGGCTCCTTTGAAAACCAGATCAGCCCCAACAACTGCACACAGAAAACTACATGGAAAATAACAGACAATGAACTTTTTACTCTTACCCTAACACATTTCATTATTTGGATAGTTTATGTCTGCCGTTGGCGAGGAAACTGGCCGATTCTGACAAATGTTTGTCCTGATGCATTAAAGCAGTATTTCTGAACATCTATTGTTTTGCCTTTTTTTTTATTCTGGAAAAATATTTAGAGAGTAAATAAACAAATGAGATCTAGTACTTGAAATCTTTACAGACCAAAGGCTTACAATAATTTTTTAAACTTGGTCCCCTTTCTTTAAGATAGTCAGTAGACATTTGCCTTAGCCTCCCTCTACGGACACCCTCTGAGAATACCCAGGAAACTTGCACTTCTTGGGTGCTACCCCAAACCTTGAGGTCACCACAAGAGAACTTGAACTCCTGCTCAGAAACCTAAAGAATAGGAGGGTGTCTCTGAAGAACTGTCAGTTAAAATGGTTTCACAAAGACGATTTTCCTCTGTATCCTTTTCTTCAGGAGCAACTCCCAGTGGTCTCTAGGCCATGGCGCTATTATACCCTCTCTCTAACTGAATTTACTCTACAGTAATCTCTATATTATCCATATGTGTGAGAAGAACATGAATATGCGGCTACATGCATCACTAGTCTATGACAGTTCACTCCAAAATAATTTAAACTTAGAGTTGGAGGTGTCATGATGAAACTATCAATAAATGATTTTTTAATGTTTAATTCATAAGTATATGTGTTAATATTAATTTAGAACAATACAAAGCAGATTTTTTAAAAAAATAATCTCTTTCTATTAGATTATGCACATTTAAACAATAAGTGCCTCAGGCAAAATAAGTCATTTTAATGTCATCTGTGATGGATTTTCCTTGACAGCTACTGTAAATTACAATTACACTGCGTCTCTCTGCACATGAAAGTAAGCATTGCAATAAATTATCTTTTATTTCAATCCGTCATGTCTGCTTTTCAGAAACAGAGAACCTCAAATAAAAGTTCAGCTCTATTGTAAGAAAAATACAGTAATTTATGATCCAGCTTGAAACAAAAAATAAAATGTCCCAATCTATTGGAAAACAGTTGTTGGCTTTCAAAAATATGACTAATTGTACTTAAACATTCCTGTCATTAGAGGGGATCCCTGGCTTTGTACATTCCTCCATTTAGAGGCTACTGTTTGGACTGAAAATCTAAAAAGATTAAAGTAAAATCCCCTAACTTATCAAATCAGCGGCCTTTTGAGATCCTTCTCTATTCGGAGATGTGGCCCTCTGGAGCTCAGTGTTCACAGATTCATGTGAAAGCGGTAATAAAACATTCCCATGTGCATGCTTATTTCTTTAAGAGCATGTACTTAAACACGGTACTCCTCTGCCCTCTTGGGGAATGCAGTTTTAGTCACATAAATTACTTGAAATGTGTTAAGAAATTGTATTTATTTAGACAAGACCGTAAGTAGAGTCTAACTGCTTCATGAAAAGGAATTATAGTGAAGAAAAAGGTCACAAGACGCTCCTTAAAGGGAATTTCTCTTCACCTTTGAATTGTAACTGAGCCATGGACAGTTGTGATGCAGTGTAATTGAAAAGTGAGGTTCAAAGCTGCCTTTACACAGGTCTCCCCAGTATTCCCTCTGAAATCCAGTCATGATTGTGCAGGTCTCAGGACCAGACATCGTCCTGTCTTAAAGGATTTTAGTTAGCGAAAATCAGAGCAGAAGACCCGAGAGTTGTTTCCAGTAGATTTCAGCAAGAAAAGAAGGTTTCATCTGTGAAATGTTCAGGACAAGAAAACCCTTGTACTGAGAGACAGCTGTGGTTCTGCGGTGGACTGGTGTTGGAGAGCAATTACCTCACTTCTCAGTGTCTGCCTGCCCCTCCAGATTCCACCCCCCAACATTGCTGCAAAGAGGTAGATGCACACCCCACCTTCCCATGCCACGTCCAAGTGACCGGCATCTGCTTTCCTACTGATGGAGTGGAATTTGATTTCCTAAGTCATTTGGATTGTCTTTGCAAAATCAGATCTAAGTCCCACAGCCAGGGGATGAGTCTGTGCTCACCAGGTGTTCTGAAATAGTTGAAAGCACGTGTTTTCAAACAGCACTTGAGAACATTAATGGAATTTTATCTCACTTACATGTAAGTTGAAAACTACACTTTCAAAAGGGAAATACTCTGGACAGAAGTGCATCCTTAACTCCTGGGAAGCAAACGTATTCAACCAGGGAACTGAGGGGAATTTGTCCAGTTCTTTCCCCCGTCTCCATCTGTGAAATCCTCTAGTCTCTGCATATGTGATACAGATTCTAGGATATGATAGCCAGAAGTTCCGTCAGGATCCAGAGAGCAAACGGTGGCAGGTGAAGGCACTCAAATCTCTTTAGTTACTTTATAGTCGTACAGCCTCTCTTATGAAGAGAATGAGAGGTATGAAGGGGGGAACCCCGAGGGGGGTTTAGAGTGGTCTTTCTCCTCTCATTGGAAATTAAAATGAAGATTACCATTGTAACACACATTGACGATGTAGCTGTGAAGCCTGCCCATCAGTTGGATCATTGAAGGAAAAAAAAAAAAACCTAGTATTTTTTTTTAAGAACACCAGAATGCTTTATATTGAATACTTTTCAAATTATTAAAGGTGATTGGGACTGAACTGACGTAACAGACAGGTGTTGGGAGAGCTCATTTTTTTTTTTTTTTGTTTTTTGTTTTTTTCTGTGTAGCTTTGCGCCTTTTCCTGGAACTCACTTGGTAGCCCAGGCTGGCCTCGAACTCACAGAGATCTGCCTGGCTCTGCCTCCCGAGTGCTGGGATTAAAGGCGTTTGCCACCACCATTTTTATGTAAATAAACTAATAACCTAGGCAACAACGAGTCACTTAGTCATCTCTCTTCCACCTTCTATTTACGCTCCACCCTCGGTTTTATTCAGAAATTGTGTGGAAGCAGGAGAAACCCCTTGGGAGGGATGTTATGCTTCCTGGCTTCCTGGTCAAAGCACAGGGATCTACAAGGATCCTAAAGCGCAGCTTCGCAGATGAAGGCTTTGGCTTATTCTTCTCCTTGGCACTTGCATAGCTTGTCCATTTCCGCCCTACTGGTTACACCAAAATTCAGTTTCCATGAGATGCTGCCTGTCTGCTGGTTACAGGGACAGCCTTGTCTAAGTGAAGAGTCTTATAAATCTGGAAGTGTTTTTAAGTGTTCTTAAAAATCAAACTGGGAGGCCGGGCGGTGGTGGTGCACGCCTTTGATCCCAGCACACGCCTTTGATCCCAGCACCCGGGAGGCAGAGCCAGGTGGATCTCTGTGAGTTCGAGGCCAGCCTGGTCTACAGAGCGAGATCCAGGACAGGCACCAAAGCTACACAGAGAAACGCTGTCTCAAAATGAATAAATAAATAAATAAAACTGGGTGTGATGGCACATGTCTGTAGTCCCAGCACTTGAGACACATAGATAGGAGGGTGGTGAGTTCAAAGTCATTCCTGCACACAAATTGAGACCTGTTGAAAAAAGAAGGAAAAAAAAGTCTCCAAAAGTGTGTGTAGATGTGATGGTTTATAAAGATGGTAGCCAAAAGGGTGTGTGAGAAACGAAACTAGAATCTGTTAGAAATGAGTTTGAAGATGGGTGTGGTAGCACATGTCCTTAATCCCAGCACTCAGGAAGCAGAGGTAGGTGGATCTCTGTGAGTTGGAGGCCAGCCTGGTCTACAGATTGAGTTCCAGGACAGCCGTGGCTACACAGAGAAACCCTGTCTCAAAAACCCTCTCCCCCTCCAAAAAGAAGAAAGAGAAGAAATGAGTTTGAGAGCTCAAATGTTTGGCTTTGTTCGGAATTGTAGCCATGGTTCCATAAATACCTGCCCATTGCTGTGGGTAAGGTTGGAGGTGTTGTGCCTTTGCCCACATGAAAATATGTATCATTGGTGGTGTACATGTTTGTTATCAGTCTGGCAGTCCTCAAGATAACTATATTCACCTGACCTCAATAACAAACCTTTTCATCCTTGCAGGTAAAGATTCCAGGTTTGGATTCTATGTGCTAGGTTCCATTTATAAGAGCTAGATAGAACCCAAAATGTCTGTATTTATTACTAGGATAAATATTAACTCCCTTTAAATATCATTGTGATTTAAAAAAAAAACACTTTTATGAACTTTGCTAATGATATGTATCTTAAGTAGAACCCTAAAATGGTCACCAGTTTTGAAAGAAAGTGGACAAAACAGACAATCTTTTGTGTCTGTTTACAAAATGTTTAACACTTTAATTAGATGAGAGTACAGGACACCATAAAAGTAGAAAGTCATACTTGGAGATTATAATTTTCTTTGTTTAATGCCTGAATTAGTAGTAACTGTTGATAAAGCCGTCAAAACCAGGTAAGCTTTTTGTGATCTTGTTACAGACGTGTGTGTGTGTGTGTGTGTGTGTGTATACCTTCCTTATGTATATCAGTCTACATTTGTGGGTATGCGTATTTACTTCTTGCCTAAAAATAACCTTTGTTAAATGTACTTAGGTGGATAACTCAAACAAGTCTCATATGTATATATTCTTTGTATATCCAAAAGGAGTTGTTCATAAACATCAACCAACACTAAAATTATTCCAGAAGAAAGGGAACATTCATGCTATCATCAGACTTGAAATAGAACTGATTTTTTTTTATTGATTAGATTTGTTCATTTATTTGACACCCCGACTACAGTTTCCCCTCCCCCTCCCCTCCTGTTCTCTTTCCCTGCCTCCCTTCTGCCCCCCGAATCCACAGAACTGATTTTTTTCTTTCTCAGAGACTATTGTAAGTGATTTTATTTTTGATCTTAATATGCATTAAAACATTGGATTAAATTAGATGTCTTTTGGTCACTTTCAAGCCATATAACTCATCAGAACGGTTTGCAAGTCTGTCCACATTTTGTGGGACATGGGATAGGATCATACTTTCATGGACATCCAGAAATTTGGCATCATGGTAAGAGTTATTTTGGAAGCTGTTTATTGAATGACATCAGTTTTTCTCCAAGTTCTTTTTGCTTTGAATCCACCTTGTCACAGTCCCTCCTCCCCTCCCCCACCCCCTCCCGGTTTTTAACCAGGATGTTACTGTGCTGTTGGGTCACAGCTCAGCACATTTCCCAAATGAAGTTTATTTTGGTTTTGTTCTTCTCCTGAAGGATGCATGGCTGGCAGGCCTGAGGGGTGTTTGTCTAGGAAAACTTACTGCAAACAAAACCCCGCTGCACTGCCATCCCAGCAGCGTGCACACATGACTGTTGGCTGTTTTTCTTCTCTACCCCCTTTTCCAACCGCTGACGGTTGTGGTTAAACTTCATTACATCCTACACAGCGTTGACAGCTGATGTATTTAGCAGCATGTACTCTTTAGTGTTTTCCGGATTATGCCCACCCTTGTGTTCCTTCCCCAGAATCCAGTTTTTCCCTGACTGGGTGTGCACCCTACAGAGAGAAGGCAACTACCAGGAGGGGTGGGAGGGAGGACTTGGGTAAAGGTAGGAAGCAGCGCCGTGGAGGAGTCCCGAGGGGATGCCCATTTGAACAAGAGCTAAGAGACAGTTAGTGCTGAGTCTGGCCCTGTGTACTTGAGCTAGGACAAGTCCCTGGAAGAACTAACTGGAAACCACCCTAGAGGATCCATGGAGACCCCGCAGAACAGTGCCCCTTTGAGCCAGAGCCCTACCTGAGGCAACTCAGAAGAGGCCCACTTCAGTGTTTAAAGAGCCTGTCTCCCCGGGCCTCACCAGTGCCAATGCATGCACATGCCCCTTCCTACATGCCAGGTGCTATCCTTTGGCATCTGTCCCCCAGGACTTATTTTGGTCTTAGGGAGACCAGGAGACCTAGCATCAGGTGGCATGGGGAACGGCAGACATGAAGAAGAGAAGGAATTGTACTGGTATATGAACACCCTAGCTGCCCCTGCCAGGCCTTGCCAAACTGCTAAAGAGTGGGTGGAGTCTGAGAACACAGATACCAACAAAAGAGTGAGACTCCCCCATCTCCTGCAAGCCCTGTGTTTAATCCTGTGGGCTCCTCCAGGTATCCAAAACCCTCTACCCTTTCCAAAAGCAAAATGGCCAAGTTTTTAAAACAGTCCCACTCCCCGCTTGCGTTTCTTTCTCTTCCTGGTTCCTTTTCTCACAGTGCCCTGTATTTGTGTTGCAGCAAATGACAATGATCTGACCATGGAGGCGGGCATGGCTTTCACAATAGGTAATGCTGGGCTCCTCTTTAGAGAGCTGGGGCCCCTGGATGGAAACTGGCCTTTGCCGAGACTTGAAGTCCTGCAAAGGACTAATGAAGCTAATCAGCATAATGAAATAATTTGGATGCATAGTAAATGTGATTAAATAATATCCTCTAGCCCTGTCTTCCTAAATCAGATACTTACCGACACATTTAGGAGACTGCAGCCATCCAACCTCTAATTCTGTTACCGGCATAATGTGCTGTTTGTTTTTTTTGTTTTGTTTTTTCATTAACACCCAGTAACTAGAGACGATTAAGTCCCTTGCTCTCTGTCAGCAAGTGGCGGGTGCTCTGTGGCGGCCCATTCCTGGCTGATGGCATGATTGGTGTCACCACCAAATTCCAATCACCTAGGGCCACCGAGGCCTCCTAGTTCTGACTGTAGGACTTAATGGAGAAGCAATTATGGTAAAATAAGAAAATTGTTATTTGCTGATTAATGAACATTTTGAGCGTGTTTTAAAAATTCAAATATTTTAAAAAACTGACTGGTATTTATAAGAGGGACTGGTGTTTGGGTGGTTATTATCCACAGGGTCCTAATTAAGGCTTGATTAAAATGCCCTTCTTTCTCTAAAAAATTATGAGCTAGGCAACTTCACACATTTTTTTCTAAATGCTGTTGCATTTCCTCTTCCTACTGTTTGGTTTGTAGTGTACTATGTAAGCAACATCAATTATCAGCCCTTGCAGGATGACAACAGGAACTGTGGGTGAAACACTCAGGGGGAGGGAGAGCCCCCTGATCTCCCTCCCTCCCTCTCTCTTCCTCTCATTACAAACTGAAACAATATCTACTATAGGAAATTTTTCTCTCCTACAGAGCCAATCATCACTGAGGGGTCCCCAGAATTTAAAGTCATGGAGGACGAGTGGACTGTGGTCTCACTGGACAACCAAAGGTGCTTGCTCTGTTACGTTTGAACTGCTGGGGAGGGAGGGAGGGAGGGCGCGCAGCGGCACCCAGAGCTGCCGGTGCACACAAGTGTCCTGACTGCCACCCTGCGTGTTTCAGGTCCGCACAGTTTGAGCACACAGTCCTCATCACGTCCAGCGGCGTGGAGATCCTAACCAAACTGCCTCAAGAAGCCTGAGAATCTACCAGCAAGGCCACCGAGGCCCAGGGCCCGTTTTCTTTAGGAGACCTCTGAGAACTGAGTTACCAACCACAGGCCACATAGGAGCCTATGATGTCTCAGAGAAAAATACATCGAGGACAAGGGCTCTGGGGACTCAGTCTGCGGCCTGCCATGGCCCCTGAAGAACCACCTCCTGGGCAGGTGGTTTGCCCTTTCCCTGATTCTAATTCTGATTTTCCTGAAATCTATTCCAGGTTTTATCCAAGTTTAAAAAAACAAACAAAAACCAAAAATAAAACAACAATAACAACAAAAACCCCAAGACAAAAACCTCTTAAAACCATTGTGTTCACTCTTTATATGTAACAGTTACAGAGGTGGGGGGCAGGTGGTTAGTTTTGGAATCTCCAAACTTTTAGCATGCCAGCAGAAAGAAAAAACAGAACCTGTTAGCTGAAAAAAAAAACATGTTTTAATCTGCTTTTTCCCCTTGTGGATCTTAAATTGGTTGGACCTGAGGGCACTCCCAGAGGCAGCACCTGCTTCCACCCCCTGCCCAGCTTCCTCTTCATCAAGGTCTGGCCTAGAGAACATGAGCCAGGAAGCATTGCCTACAAATGTTTTCTGGGCGGTGGACCATAGTTTAGCCTTTCTGAAGATGTTAGCAGTGCAGACAAGACCTTGCAGACCCCTGAACCTCTTCATCAGCAACCAGCCATGCTTGATCCCCTCCCAGCTGAGACCACCCCCACACTAGGTCATTTGTTGTGCTGAAAAATTGAGCCGCAACCCCATACTTTAGATGTGTGTCCCCTGAGTTTAGAGCCCAACCAGTCCTTACACTATCCAACCCCTGGCTGCTGGTCTGGGACAGGCACTCCTCTGTTCCCCTGGGCTATACAAATCAGATATTCCTGAGACCTCACAGGATCCCTGAGAGAGGAGACACCAGACACAGTTAAGACAAGGCCCTAGCTGGCCTGGTCCAGAACTGTGAGCTGTAACTACCGGTCAACTTGCCTGCAGCACCTTCTTGCTTCAAAAGCGGAAATCCATTCCTGCCTGGAGCATCTGCTTTCCCTTGTTCTTGGGGATCTGTTCACAGCTAGCTCCAGAGTGGGCCGGGCTGAGCCTCACAGGAAGTCAAGTCCCCTCTGGGCATGTTAGAAAGAGCATGTCTAGAGAGGTCCAGACCTCTAACTGCTAACTCTCGTTTGTGTTCCTGTGGATGGTAAAGTGGCCATAGTCTAAACAGAGCTTGGTTGTCAGGGAGCCAAGGACGCGTCTTACATTTGCCAGGACATCCACAGGGAGTTAGCTTGACTTTCAGACACCCAGAGCCATGGAAAAAGGGGTGAGATACTGAGGACAAGCACTTGGAAAAGTGGTAAATCCCAGCTCTTCTCTAAACTTGGGAATCTCTCCATGTTTTCCAACCCTCCAGATCAGTTTATCTCTGTCTAGAGATTACAGTTGTTTATGGGAATGATTCTAAACCTAGTTTATTTGAGAGTGAGAAGGAATGGGGATTTGTAAGATCAACTGGCCAACTTTTGAGGTGTTCTGGAATTAGCCAGGCAGAGGGTCAGAGGATGGAGCTGTGGCCATGGAGCAATTCCTATTCCCTAGAGAGGAACAGGGCCCAGCTGGCCTTAGGAGCTATTTGCCAGAGAATGACTTTCTTAGAGCAATCAGATTAGCATGTAGTGTCTTTATCTGCAGATCAGTTTACTCCCGGGTCCCCCTAAGGATAGTTTTATTAGGACCACAGGATTTTACCCACCACTGGGACAATTATTGCAGGTGGAGGTATTTATGGGGAAGGTATATAATCTGATTTAGTAATCTAGGCTGCACTGCTGAATTCAGCAGCTCTGTAGGAGACAAACTTGAATTAAAGGAATTTTGTGTAACATTCTTTGAAGTTGGGATTAGGACGCAGGTTTTTTTTAAAAAGAGCCTCGCCTTGTCCACTTCCTCATCAGTTGGCCAGCTGAACTGACCTGACCGACACCTAGCCCTGAGCCACACCGATTCCAGCCAGGAAGAATAAGCTGGCTACCATCTGAGCTGCTGGGTCCCGAGGTGACTCCATTGAGTTCTGCTCCCCACCTGGAATCTTCAAGACCAATGCGAAATTCTAATTTCCTTTCATACTTGGGCAGGAAAAGGTCTAAGCATTTTAGAACAGGTGTCGCCTTAGAGTTGGGACACTTGGGACACTCTGGGCTCACCGGGTAGCTATAAGATCTCACTTCAGGAAGCTAAGTGAGGCGTGTGCACTCTTCCAGGGGCCCTGCTTAGCTTTTCCCTAGACTTGCTTTCTTCCTCGTATCAGGAAATAATTCTGGAGTGTGCTCCCTCACAATTCAGTTCTAAATTATGCCAGTCTCTGAAACCCTATCGAGCCAGTCGGTCGTTTGTTCCCAGAAGCCAGCCTGGTCTCCTGCTCTGCTAAGTGGAAGGACAGAGCACCTCGTAGTCCCGTCTCTCCGGTTACCCAACCCAGCAAGTCTCTGGGATAAACTGGCCCTGGGCAGTCTGGCCTTCGTATGTCCTCTGGCCTTTCACTAAATTCCAAGAGACACCAGTCTAGTTTCCCCCAGTCCCAACCTCGACCCCGGCACACACCGCAGCGATCACTTACGTGGGCAAGGCCCGCAAGGCGAAGAGACCTCGGGTTCAGACGGCATCCAAGCGGCTGCAATGGGCGCACAGGACCGCACTTCACACCCCAAAACAGGCGCTAAGAAGGAGCAATTAAAGTCACGAGTACTACAGGAAAATCAGGGCGAGCCTAGTGGCTCGGGAGTTGTGGTGGAGTCATTAGTTGGTTGTTGCTACAAAGCCTGCCTCACCGTGTGGTTCGGTGATTAAGGGAAAAAAATCTTTTAGGCGTTGACAAACCCTTTATTGGTTTACAGAATTTGGACTGTTAGCTCGCTCTCTCTCTCTCTCTCTCTCTCTCTCTCTCTCTCTCTCTCTCTCTCTCGTTCTTCTCTTTTGCTCCAACCACCACGTTGCATGAAATATCTCTGCCCCCAGCTTCATGCCCTTAAACCGAAGAAGAATTCCCGAAGGCAGGAGCCGCTGCTAAAGAAGTTAAAGAGAGAGAAAGAGAGAGAGAGAGAGAGAGAGAGAGAGAGAGAGAGAGAGAGAGAGAGAGTGAGTGAGTCAGAGAGGGAGGGAGAATCCCCTGTACTCATATCTGTAACGACATCACCGATGTAATTTGTTTTGAATGTTCATTTTTATTGGTGTTCCCTCTGCCAAAATGTGCTTGATTACAGAGGTCTGTCCTGTGATCACTGCGCACTCCAGATAGGGGAAGGTGCCGCGGCGAAGGTTCAGCTCAGGCCAGATCAAATCCCGGGCTGTTGAACGCTGAAAGGCTGCGTGTTGCTATTAGTGTTAAATATATGGCTAATTATGCGTATGAAAATTAAACATCAGTGTTATGCTAATGGGGCGCCTTCAGCTGCGGATCTGAGCACTTGAGACTACCATTTAATCAAATGAATCAGTAACTAATACGTGTGCACGTGTGAACTTTCACAAGATCATTTCCCCGTCCCCCCCGTCACACCGCTAAATTATGAAAGAAATAATTATCAACACTTTCTAATTACCTAACAAAGTAATTTGGGATTCATCGTGGGGCTGGCAGGATTGGGAACCAGCAGTCCCTAGCAACCAGCGTAGTTTGCGCCACGCCGCGCCGCGTGGGGCGGCCGTGTGGTAGTAGTGGTGGGTGGGGGCGAGAGAGCCTTTTGTGCACTTTTCAATACGAAGGTAGACGGCGCCTTGGCAGCTTTTGCCTCCACCAGCGCCCCTCGACTCACCCTCGGTTCTGGAGGCTCCAGCTTAAGCAACTGGAGGTGAGGAAGAACTGGGCGACAAAGAGGGGCATGTCGTCTATACACCAATACCCGAGCCTACCACAGATCTGGATTTGCTGAGGGTTTCGGTGTCGCCCTAGGACTCCCAAACCCCAAGTAGTCTGGCCAGACCCCAGGAGGTTGGAAAATGACCACCTGGCGGGCGTTCGACGCTCCGGCCGCCAGGCGCCCTCAGGTCCCCGGACTCCACGCTGCGCCGCGCCCTCGGGGCGAGTGAGCCCCGGGCGCATGGCTCAGGGGGAGTGGACAGGGGAGGGGGAGGCAGGAAGGTTGGGAGGGAAAGCGGGGGAGGCGGTGCGGCCGCCTCTCCTGGGAGGAGAAGCGCGGGTTCCTGGCTCTCCCCGCGCACTGCTTTGATCAGACCGGTGCAGCCTGGAGCTGGAGTGGCCAACTGGGCCTGGAGAGATGCGAGCAAGCCCCCGGGAGCGGTGGCAGCGGCGGGGCGGCGGCCGAGTGAGTGAGTTGGGCCGGAGAGCCCCCAAACCCCGATCCCCGGGATGTGGCCGAGCGGACCCCAGCCTGGGAGGCGCGGCCTGGAGCGTGCGGAGCTAGGCACAGGACACTCAGAACCTCTGGCTGCTGGCTACCTGGGTTGTCTCCCAGTGCGCGACCCCGCGATCCAGAGAGACCGCGGCCAGACTGGAGCGGCGCTCCGCACCGGACTGGGTGACTGCGAGAAGAAGTGGTCCGGGGTCCCAGGAGTTGGGGGCGGGCGAAGGGTGGGGACAGCAAGGGGGAGGGCGACGGCAGGGGGCTGCTGGTTGGTTTCTGGGGCGGGAAGCGCGCGAGGGAGGCGGGAGGCTGGAGTCGCGGGCCTCCAAGGTCCCAGCGCGGACGCCGGAGCCCATTGTGCTTCACGCTCCGCCGCGCGCTCCGTTGCAGAGGAGCCCCGGCCGGGACGAGTGGACCCGACTCTCCCCAGGCCGGGCCGCGTCGCCTGCTCTAGTCCAGCCGAGCCGGAGCTTCTCGGACCAATCCCCGGTGATTATGCAAGAGAGCCGACCAATCAGCTCCACCAGCTCATGAATATTTATGACCTTGGCTGAGTCAAAGCTTTGAACCGAGTTTGGGGAGCTCGGCAGCATCATGCTTAGACTTTTCAAAGAGACAAACTCCATTTTCTTATGAATGGAAAGTGAAAACCCCTGTTCCGCTTAAATTGGGTTCCTTCCTGTCCTGAGAAACATAGAGACCCCCAAAAGGGAAGCAGAGGAGAGAAAGACCCACACCCAGACCCCCGCGAGAAGAGATGACCATGACCACCATGCCAGAAAGTCTCAACAGCCCCGTGTCGGGCAAGGCGGTGTTTATGGAGTTTGGGCCGCCCAACCAGCAAATGTCTCCTTCTCCCATGTCCCACGGGCACTACTCCATGCACTGTTTACACTCGGCGGGCCACTCGCAGCCCGACAGTGCCTACAGTTCGGCCTCGTCCTTCTCCCGACCGCTGGGCTACCCCTACGTCAACTCGGTCAGCAGCCACGCGTCCAGCCCCTACATCAGTTCCGTGCAGTCCTACCCCGGCAGCGCCAGCCTCGCCCAGAGCCGCCTGGAGGACCCAGGTACGTGCGCTTGCCAGGGACAAGGAGAGAAGGGAAGGAGACTAGAAGAGAGGGGGAGAAGGGGAGGAGGAAAGAGAGAAGACGAGAGTGGGATAGAGAGAGGTGGGTGGGGGTGGGGAAAGCGCGGAAGTAGTAGAGGTTTCGGATATCAATCTATGGATCCTTGTCACTGAAACGAAAAAAAAAAATTATAAGTCAATTCAATTTACAACTGTCCAGCAAAGGATAAATCCGAGCGCGTCTCTTGACACTGGCTGGGCCTCTGGGCCGCTCGGTGCGCCAAGCACACAATGCCCTGCTGGAAAACAGAAACCCACATGTGCACGTATTAGTCTCGGTAATTATTTATTGCGTAGCGCTATAAACAATGTATGCAATTAAGGGTAATTAAACCTCAACTACCGCCTGCAAAAATAGCAAACTTTCCCTGCAAAGGCAATAGCTGCGCTCTTGAGTACCGGCCCAGTTCTGTCTACAGCAGCCAGGGACCTGCGCTCGGACCTTGAGCAACCCTTTGCAGTCTTTCAGGGTTTCTGGAACGTTCTTTTCCGGACCCTGCCTCAAACCAACCCGTCCATAGACACGCACTCTTATCCCTCCGCATTAAAGGCAGTCCAGAATTAACACGGGTATCTGCTTCTGTTGTCCCTCCAGGGGCGGACTCCGAGAAGAGCACCGTGGTGGAAGGCGGTGAAGTGCGCTTTAATGGCAAAGGGAAAAAGATCCGCAAACCCAGGACAATTTATTCCAGTTTGCAGTTGCAGGCTTTGAACCGGAGGTTCCAACAAACTCAGTACCTAGCTCTCCCTGAGAGGGCGGAGCTCGCGGCCTCCTTGGGACTCACACAGACTCAGGTACCTGGCCGCTGTCTCTCCGCCAAACAGGCTCCCCGCGCTGGGCTTGAGCCCCAGGCTTCGAATTTCGTGTTCACTGGGCCTCTGGTTCGAGGTGTCACTGTGCGTGTGCGTGTGCTTGTGCATGTGCGCGCGCGTGCGCGCGTGTCTGTGTGTCCACCTCTGACTTTCAGCGTCTCCCCTTCCTCCCACATGCTGCTTGCCCTAGCTCGGACCCTACTCTGACCTGCAGGCCGCCTGCTCTTCGGTCCCTGGACTTCTGATCTGGGAGCAGGAAGGATTTCTCCACTGGTTTTGTTTGGAGATTCTGAGGTCACACGCGCCGGAACAACTGGAACAATAGAAGGGGAATTTAATCCTCCTTTGCCTTTAAAGTGTGTGGCTAATCACTAGGATCCTGGGCCTAAGCCTCAATCTCCCTCCACCTCCTCCTTCTCGCGAGGTGGCAGAGGAGGATCCTTCCCTCTGCCCTTTCCCCTCCCAAGTCCCAGATCCTGGAGAGAGAGAGAGAGAGAGAGAACAAATATATATATGTATTTGAGATTTTTTTTTCTTCCTGCTTTTCTCTAACACTGTGGGCAGTTCGTAGGCATTCAAACCGGATTGACGCCGGTTTCCAAAGTCTGTCTTTAGATTTGGATTGGAGCTGGGGAAAGCGAACACACCTAACGGGGGGAAAAGTTGGATTGAGTCTGAAGAAAAGTTTCACAAACCCTCCATGGCTTCATCCACAAGTTCTTAAACTCATCCAAAGGCAGAAAGTTCGGGCAAAAGGAAGGTGGTCTAACTGTAAATAGATTACCCCCCCCATTCTATTAAAACCCTATTTAGGTTTTAAATTTTCTTTATTGATATTGCATTGTTTTGCATGCAAGAGGTCTTCCATAAACAGCAGCCCGGTTGGCACTGACCCACTTGCAAGCCAAGGCCTGGGTCTCCCCTGCTCTCCTTACCCCACCCCCACCCCCGTATTTGAGAACCGCACTAAGGGCCATCAGCAGCGGCGGGATTGGGTGATCAGTTTTCTAGTCTTTGGCTCTCATGGGGACTGGGGGTGGGGATGGTGGTCACTGCCCCTCTAGCCTGGAGCTGCCAGCCTCGGCAGAGCCAGGAGGGCGGGTATTCTCTTCCACCAGTCCCTTCCCTCCTCCCCAGGCCTGGGTAGGCTCGGTGGTCACAGTCCAGTCACGTTGTCGCCCGATCTTGCAGGTCAAGATTTGGTTCCAGAACAAACGCTCCAAGTTCAAGAAGCTGATGAAGCAAGGCGGGGCAGCTCTGGAGGGCAGCGCGCTGGCGAATGGCAGGGCCTTGTCTGCCGGCTCCCCACCGGTGC